ATTCACAGGAAGCTCCTTGGTCTCAGGAGCAACTTGCATGACAACCCAGAGAAATGCACCTGGGCTCAGAGACCTGCCCTGGAAGCCACTTTGCCACTGGGCCAAGGATACAAAGTCCTTAATAACTTGGGACCAGTTTACCTGTGAGATTGCTTTACCCCATATTTGCCCGCTTGACTGTGTCGACCTGCAGAACTGGCAGCGTTACGTGTGCCACACAATAATTGTTCCACCTTGGTAAGAAATCAGTCATTTAGTTGGCAGCAACACCCACGCTGGATCTCCCTGCCTGTGGGCAGCAGGAAGGCACCCTCCTGACATTCTTTGTGGCCCCTCTGAAAACATTTTTGTTTAGGCAAGACTACACAGACATGTGCTGCGCTGGCTCGCCAGATGCAGCTTGTCACGCTGGCCACGTGACCCGGAAGTGTCTGCGAACAGCGCTGGCTCCCGGCCTCTAGAGTGAGATGAGCGCACAACCCTAGAGTCTGGCAAGTCTGGCCCCCACGGGCAGGGGTACCTTTACCTTTACCTTTACACAGACATGAATAATGTTAACGTGTTTTAATTTATCATGTATTTAAATTGTTTTTGAATGTTTTCAATAGTTACTTTAAACTGTTATTACTGATAGCTTTATAGTTTTATTCTTTTTGTAAACTGCTTTGAGAGTGGTTTTTACAACCAAGTGGTATATAAATTTTATGAAATCAACAAAAGAACAATATAAAGTAAATCCCACCCTTAACATTTGCACCCACGCCCTGACTCTCTCCAGTATTCCTCACCATCACCAATTGTTATGGGGCAATTCACATGCCTCAACTGGAGGCGATGAAGACACGGTTCTTCATTCCTCATTCAAACTCTGCTTAGAGCAAAGCAGGACTGCAAATGCTCCGCGGTGGCACAACATGCTGAAACCATAAAGCAAAGCCAGCCCAGGAGAACAAACAACCCAGCATGTTTTAAAGGGGGTGCCAGTGAAGCAGGGGTGGAACTGGAGGTGTGACCCCAAGATCTCTTCCAAGGCTGGAGATTTTCCTGGAGCACAAACGGAGCAATGGGCACCCAAGGATATTTTGGAGGCTTCTTTCCCTTGCTCTTTTGAAATGAAATGGAAGCAGAATTCCACTGCCAATGACTTTTCTGCAAGGCACGAGAATACATACAGTGTATGATTTTAGAACCAGAACACTGTTGGCTCCTGCCAAAGTTTTGGCGCTTCATTTGAAAATTGGTGCATGTCCTGTAACTTCCTGCTGACATCCTGAAACCATTTACCGTTTACACTGCAAATGTTCAAGCAGCAGGGCGGGGGTGCAAAAAAGCCCCTTCAAAAGCCAATAATACGGTCCCATTGGGGAAGCATTGCAGAGCAGCTAATAAAGTGGAGTGATGTGTGAATGATCCAGTATATATCCACCACTAATGCACGATTAGTGCTTCCTTCACATGTTGCACTGCTGCAGAATACACCCAGAAACCCCCCCACCAATCTTGAGGGACCCTGACTCAAAACTTACTGCAGTCCAGCATTCTGTTCCTACAGTCAGGAGGGAAAGGGTGATTCTCAGTGGTAGAGCATCTGCTTTGAACACAGAACACCCTGGGCTCAATCACTGATCTTTCCAGCTAGGATGTGGAACGCCCAGGACCCTAAGAAATGCTGCCAGTCTCCGCAGACAGCACTGAGCCAGGAGGCCCAATGGCCGGGCTGAAGTAGAAGGTGCCTTCCTGGTTCCTTGCAAAGCCAGGGAGCACGTGCTTGTTCCTGTCTTCACTAAAGACAGAGATGGTCCAGAAAGACTCCCGTCTGAAACCCCCCTCCCCAGCCTCTATCACTCAGCCGCACAGTCCAGGAGTTAGCAAGCTTCTCCTGCTGAGGGCCACATTCCATCAGAACTATTCCTGAGGGCCACATGCCCGCTTCAGAGCGGGTGCTGAGCAGAGCCAAAGAACCCCCCAAACTCTTAAGAGCCTCTTGAGAGAATGAGAGGGGGGGGTGAGTTGATGATCCGAACTGCCACCGCTCCCTTTGCAACTTGCTCCTTGTTACGTCCTGGCTCACTGAGGCCGCTCGCAGCTGCACCCTCTACGGATCTGTCCATCTTTCCAGACAGAGGCAGTGGAGGGACCCTTTTCAGCGGAGGGCCGTGTGGGGGCCATAGGTGGGCGGGGCGGGGTAGAGCCCGGACACCTCCTTCTCTCGAGCCCCCGTCCAGGCAAGCAGAAAGCCGTGTTCAGAGAGCGCAAGAGGCTCATCCCAGCCAGGCAAAAACATGCAAGGTGTACGCGTGCGCGTGCGCGTGCGCGTGCTATGCTAGCAGGTGAAGGTTGTGACTTGGGAAGTGTCCCAGGGGCCAGAAAGAGAGGGCCGGAGGGCCGGATTAGGGGCTTCCATCCCGGCTTCCTCTTTTCGACGCTTTCTTTTGGGGGGGGGAGTGCGTGGATGGGGGCGGTAGGTGCCCTTTCTCTCTCCAAAGCCGGAGGGGGAGACGGGGAGCGGGCTGGCGCTACGGCCGATGCCCCGGAGGGACGCCCGGAGGCGCCTCCCGGCCTGTGCGCTCCGCGCTGCGCAAAGCCTGTCCCGCAGCAAGGGCCGCTGCGCTCAGGCTGGCGGTGGGTCTTACGTGCGCGCCGAGTGTTCTGGCGCGGCTGCCTGGTTCGCTGCGTCCCTGCGGGGCGGGGAAGAGCGGCAGCAGCAGCAGCAGCAGCAGGAGGAGCTGAGCGCAGCACCAAGGCGGAAGGCACGTCCGCAAGCCGGAGCCGAGGAAGCCGGGCGAGTGCGCTGCCCACACGGACCGGCAGCAGCTCTCCGGGTATCTGGAGGGGTCTCCCCAGCCCCACCTGGAGATGCCGGCGGGGACTGGACGCGGATAGCTTTTTAAAAACTTCGACCGTGAGCAGACAGTCTGCCTCGTCTACCTGACAGGGCTGTTTTGAGGGTACAAAACATACTTCCTTGAGCCCCTTGAAAGGGAGGCGCAGTGTAAGAGTCACTCCCTGTCATCGCCAACCAAGGGAAGACCAGGTGACCGGCATATGGGATGCAGCGCGCAGTCCCGGCTGCCTCGCCCCAAAAGTATATTGCAGAGTTGGAAAAGGGCAGGCGAGGCGAGGGAGCGACTCCCCATGTAGAAAGGCGGCAGCATCGGGGGCTTTTCAGCTTAGAGAAAAGGCGAGTAGAGGCGGCAGGATAGAAATTTATGACAAGGTGAAAGTGGAGAGAGAAAGTTCTCTCCCCCCTCCTAACCCTGGAACTTGTGGATAATAATAATAATAATAATTTTTATTTATACCCCGCCCTCCCCTGCCAAGGCCGGGCTCAGGGCGGCAATAATAAAAACAAGTTGAATGATTACAACTTAAAAACAAAATTAAAATACAACATTAGAATATTGAAACATTAAAATATTAAAATGTAGCCTCATCACAGGAGGAGAAAGGAAAAAGAAAGAGGGGGAGGGAATCAAATTGGCTCCAAGCCAAAGGCCAGGCGGAACAACTCTGTCTTACAGGCCCTGCGGAAAGAAATCAGATCCTGCAGGGCCCTGGTCTCACAGAGCGTTCCACCAGGCCGGAGCCAGTGTTGAGAAGGCCCTAGCTCTGGTTGAGGCTAATCTAACTTCCTTAGGGCCCGGGGCCACTAGGGTGTTGCTATTTATGCACCTTGAGGCTCTCCGTGGGGCATACCGGGAGAGGCAGTCCCGTAGGTACGAGGGTCCTAGGCCGTGAAGGGCTTTAAAGGTCAAAAGCAGCACCTTAAATCTGACCCTGTACTCCACCGGGAGCCAGTGCAGCTGGAAAGGCACTGGGTGAATATGCTCCCATGGCAGAGACCCCGTGAGGAGCCTCGCTGCAGCATTCTGCACCCGCTGGAGTTTCTGGGACAGCTTCAAGGGCAGCCCCGCATAGAGCGAATTACAGTAGTCAAGCCTGGAGGTGACCATCGCATGGATCACTGTGGCCAGGTCAGGGCAGGAAAGGTAAGGTAAGGGACCAACTGTTTGATGCGGCGAAGGTGGAAAAATGTCGCCTTGGCTGTTGCTGTAACCTGCGCCTCCATGGAGAGGGAGGCGTCAAGGATTACACCCAAACTCTTAACGGAAGGCAATGGCACTAATTGGGCCCCCGCAAGAGAAGGGAGTTGGCCCCCCAACCCCATGTCATCCCAATCCAGCCATAGGACCTCTGTCTTCGAAGGATTTAGTTTCAATCGGCTCCCACGAAACCATCCAGCCACAGCTTCCAAACATCTGGTCAGTGTGTCAGGGATCGAGTTGGTATGGCCATCCATCAGCAGACAGAGCTGCGTGTCATCAGCATATTGGTGACAGCGCAGCCCAAAGCTCCGGGTAATCTGGGCAAGGGACAACCAGGGAAGATTCGGGAGTGATGAGAGAAGTCCTTCTGCATCGTCTCACCAGGGAACTGGCTTCCACAAGAGACTCAGGGGTTGCCACCAGCTTGGATGGCTTAAAGTAGTTCTTGAGTACAAAATAGATCCTGGGGGCCAAAAGCAGAGCGGAGGGCGACCCCCCTGCTTTGCTTGGGGTGCCTGATTGGCCAGGCGCTGGGATCGAGGGGCCGCTGCATCCATCTCCTGCCAGCGCCTCCCATCGCCAGCTCCGAGCCGAGCCGCTTTGTGAGGCTGGGGTCTGATCTGAATGGTATTTGAAAGTCCACCCCGAGGTGGGCCCCTTCTGTCTGACCCAGAAGGGTTTAGCCGTACATGGAATGAACATTTATACCACTTTAAGAGCGATGGCTTACTCCCCACCCCACCCCCAAATCCTGGGGTCTGGGTCTGGAGTTTGGGTCCCCCAATATTCTTCTGGAGAAGTCATGACTCCTATAGCGCTGCAAGAGTGCTATGTATGTACGGCGTGGAGGATGTGACCTTCGGTTCCCATTCGGATGCTCCGCCCTAGGTACCCAAATGTCTCTGGCCGGCGGCGGCCTCGCTTGTGAAACCTTCCCATCGCCCGCCCGTTTCCCATTGATCCGCTACGTTGCAGAGAACAGCCAGCAGAGGCGGCGGCAGCCGGGTTCATCTAAGGTAAGGCGAGGGGCGGTCCTGTTGCAAAGGAGGAGCCTGCGAGGCGAGCAAATCTCTCGCAGGCTGGCTGATGAATGTGACCGCGCTGGGTGCGTGTGTGTACTTCTTGGCAGGGAGACAAGAGCGGGGAGGGGAGGGGAGAGGACCGCAGTGCGTAACCCCCGGATGGTGGATGGATGCGCCCCGCCTGTGGGGTGGGAGGCTGGGGGGAGCTTCCTTCCTGCCTGCTCTGCCCAGCCTCGCCTAGTAACAGTGCCCCCCCGTCGCCCCCTCCCAGGCACTGCCTTGCTCACTCACCTCCCTCCTTCTTCTCCTGTGACAATGCATCAACGTTCCAGCATTTCACAGAGGAAAAGAGAGCCAAGCAGCTCTGCTTGTAACAGAAGGAGATAAGGAGAGGCCAAAGGAACATCTCGTTCAGCGCCTTGTTCTCCCTGAGGCCAACCAGATGCCCCACGTGCGAAGCTGGCAAGCGGGACCCGAGAGTGCAAGAGAGCTCCCTTCCCTCGCGATTCCCAGCCAAGGGAATCCAGAGGTATCTCTGTAGCCACCGAGAGCGTTATTCACCATCGATTTGCCTAATTCTCTTCTACAGTAAAGCCATCCAAGTTGGTGGTGTTCACTGCTCTCCGTGGGAGCAAATTTCAGAGTTTAACTATGCACAGGGTGAAGAAGAACTTTCTGGTGGCCTGTCCTGAACTGGCCCCCTGGTCAGTTCTGTGACCGCTGTCCTGGGGCACAATTATTTAGGGTACGCCAAGGTGCATCTGTAGCACAAAACTGGGCACCTTCATCTGCCCCGGCTGCAACAAAACGTCTCTCCCACGTCGGTCTCTACAGCCCCAGCAGGAGCTGCAACCTTCCCACAAAGGCACATTCCTTCATTTCCTCCTGAAACAACAAGACTCTTATGCCCTCACTGAGGTAGAGAGAGAGCGACACCACCTCCCGTTTGCCCTTCCCTGTCCTTCCTATAAAGTTTGTCCCCATATACCACCAATTCTCTCCATTCCTCCATGTTTCTGTTATGCCCACTATAGCTATGTTGTCCTCTAATCCCAAACACTCTAGACAGGTGCTCAGCTAAAAGTTTATGCTTTGCGTTGAGTACTATATAAAACAAGGTAAAAGCTTGTTAATGTGTTTTTTAAAGTTTTGAAAAAACTTTAGCCCAAGAGGCTAAACTGTCCTGACCCTTTCAAACTCCTGCTTTCTGGCATTTGAGCCGCACACCCTGCTATGATTGGCTGCAGTCACAGCTGGGAAAAGCTAGCCAGGCATATAAATTTAGAGCAACCAAGTGAAGGTGCTTTGGCTTTCTAAGTCTCAAGCTAACAGGCAAGTTCAGCAGCAGGCAAAGCTGGGGCTGACTCTTCTGCCCCTCTGCCCATTGACCGAATAAACCCCAAGCTTCCACATTAAATAAACCAATAAAAGCCAGCCAGGGTGTGGGGTGTTTTCCAGTGTCTTGCTCATTTTGCCACATGTATGACAACTGCCTATAAATTGTGGGCATGTGCTCGGATCCTCACCCTGATCCAGGAGCCAGGCCAGCTCACCTTTCCCACACCTTGCAAAAGGTCCTCTCTCTGCCTGTTGTGTGTTCTGTTCATGATGGCTGCATAAACACAGTGGGATGTAGCCAATCCTAGTCATACTCTGACACATTGGAATTAATGGACACGACTTAGGGCCATTCATTCCAATGGGGCTGCTCTGAGCCACAGAATCCTGGTAACAGTTGTTTACCCCTCACAGAGCTACAATCCCCAGCATGCCTAACATGCCACAGTTACCAGAATTCTTTGGGTGAAAGCAATGTGTTTTAAATGTATGGTGTGCGCACAGCCTGACTCTGCATGGGAGCTGCAACAAAGTGTTGCAGTATATCATCACCAGTTCAGGGCTACAGCTTTGCAGCCATGACCTCTTCTATCCCATTCGGTTCCCATTTTCCCCATTTTCATCCTCCCTCACAATTTAAGAAGGATGTTGACAAGCTTGAAGATGTGCAGAGGAGGAGGACCAAGATGATCAAAGGTCTGGAAACCAAGCCTGAAGAGGAGTGGTTGAAGAAGCCTGGGGAATAGAAGACTGAGAGGAGATATGATGGCCTTCTTCTTCTTCTTTTAAATTTTATTTATACTTTTCAGATATACGTATACATTTCACTGACTGTGCAATAATTTTAACATTTTAAAACTTGACTTTCTTCCCTCTATTTCTGCAGTTCCTTAAATTTATTTTTAATATCTTCTGCATATCCAGATTAACTTACTCATTTATTTATCTTCTTTAAATAGATACACTTATACACCTGCAGGTTATTACAATAATCCTGCCAGTGTTTTTATCTGTTTACAATTTATCTGCAAATATTCAATAAATCTGAGAAGAGAAGACTCCCTGGAAAAGACCCTGATGTTGGGAAAGATGGAGGGCACAAGGAGAAGGGGACAACAGAGGACGAGATGGTTGGATAGTGTTCTCGAAGATACCAGCATGAATTTGACGAAACTGCGGGAGGCAGTGGAAGACAGAAGTGCCTGGCGTGCTCTGGTCCATGGGGTCACGAAGAGTCGGACACGACTAAATGACTAAACAACATTCAATAAACCATTTCTGTTCTTTTATAAAAAGTTTATTATGTTGTTTTCTTATTCTTCCAGGAAGTTCCTCCATTTCTACATATTCCATAAGTCCCCTCCAACTCTACAATTCTATGAAACTTAGCATTCTGTGATCTCTGAATATGCTCAGTCCTCAGTGGGCCATTGGAAGGGGGATGCCTTCTTAGGTTTTTACCCTATATTCCTCCTCCCTGCCTCTTTTTGTATTTTTTGTATTTTTGTAATCTTTGGTTTTCCAGAGCATGATGCTACCCCCCTGCGGTTTCTCTGGTGCCCTATTTTGGCTACAATCCGATCAGCACTTACCAGCTAAATTTGCTGTTAGAAGGAATGATATTTTAAAGCTGTCTGGGCAGGAATCTGAATTAGAAATTGTGATACAGAATCTAGAAAACAGTGGAGCATTTCAGAATATCAGAGTATACTCAGGGAACTGAACTTCAAGTCGATGGGCCCCAAGGCAGCCCTGCAGCCCTTTTTCTCTGGCTCTGAAAACTCTCCCTCTGCCACACCCCTCACTGGCCCTGATCTGCCCCCCCCCCCCCGTGCTTTCCCCTTTCAAGTCTGATAATGCCTTTGGCCTGTCCGCATGAGGGGGTTCTGTGAGTGGGCTAAGAAGCTAGCCTATGGTACCTACAGGTAGAAACTGTTAGTTGCTCCGCCCACTTTTGCCTCTTGCCCCGCCCCTATCTCTAGAAGCATAGCTGTCAACGTTTCCCCTTTTTTAAAGGGAAATTCCCTTATTCCAAATAGGATTCCTCGCAAGAAAAGGGGAAAGTTGACAGCTATGTCTAAAAGGCTGCCCAGAAGGGAATGTTGCCCTCAGGCTGCAAAAGGCTTCTTGCCCCTGCGGCAAGTGATCTTAGAGCGGCCAAATAAAGGACCTTCAAGGGAAACCTCTGAATCACAATTTATCACGAAATTCAGTTTTTCACCTGTACTTGACTTTAGATGACGTATTTTTACAACGCTACGTATGTTACCTAGCTTACCAATTCCAGGATGTGTGCATGTGTCAGTTTATGTTGATCGCCACTGTCCTTCTTGCATTTCACTTCCCTCTGACCTCACGCCTGGGCACTTCCTGGCCATGCATAGAAGTGAGCATCGTTGCCGGCTTATGCTGTATCATAAACGTGCTGAAGCCTTCAGTTGTCATAAGACTCTTTGAGGTTATATGGAAAAAGCTGTGATGGTGGGGAAGGCAAGCCCAGCCAGCTGCAGTTTGCAGAGCCCCCTAGGAAGGCGGGTGGGCTGTCTATTGCATCCTGGGAATGTTAGCCCTGCCTGGGAAGGGACAACTCTCGGCACAGACTGCCGTTCCCAGGATTTCTTTGGGTTTAAAGTGGTGCCTTAAGTGCATGATGCGGGTGTGGCCTTATTATGCACTCATTTTTTAATAAAATGAAAGCAGGGGACCTGAGGATTATGTCTGATGGCGAGTAGGGCTCCCCCACCCCCACCCCACAACAACCCACCAGCATTTAAAACAAAGGATCCTCGATCTCACATCAGATCTGGCCCGGGAGCAGAACAATCGCCCGGATAAACCGGGACACCGCCAGGGGAAGCTTCTTGGAGCAGCTTCCCTTGGCTGACGTAGCCGCGCGGGGCAGCGGGCGCGCCGCCTGCTCCCTTCTATATAGAACCTGCGCGCGAGGCTGCAGCCGACGCAGCGCCGAGCCCGCGGGGCTCCCCTTCCCTTGGCTGGAGGGTCGTCCCTGGGCGCCAGCGGGGCCTTGGGGCGTCTCTCCCACCCGCCATGCCCAGCCTGTGAGGCGCTGGCTCCTCGGGGCTCCCCCAGCACCACCCCGTCGAGCCTGGCCGCTCTTCCACCCGGGGCGGCTGCGGGCAGGATTGCGGGGGCTGGACTGGATTGCCCTCGGAGTCCCTTCTCACGCCACAGTTCTGTGGGATCAGCGGATTTAGGGCGCCCAGTTTCTGCATAGGATGAGATCGCTCGCCGAGGCCCCTCCCCGTTGCAGAGGTTCAGCGGAAAGTGCCCCACCTTCGGCGCTGGGGGGCCGGGATGAGATGTTGCCGCTCTTCGCTTTGCCCTCTTCCAGCAAGTGGCTCCTTCAGAGCAGAGGCAGGTTGAGGGGAGAGCTTGGGGGGGGGGCACGACTCCTATTTAGGATGGAGTGAGAGAAGCAGGGAGAGGGTGAATACTGGCGTCACACAGGGCAGTGTGGAAATCTGAGCCCCCAGGGTCTGCCCCTGTTCAGAGCCCTGGCCAAGCTTCCCTAACCTGGTGCCCTGCAGCGTTTCTGGACTGCAAGGCCCATCAGTCGGGAAGAAGCGATTTTGGTCCTTACTGCCCAACTGAGTGTCTGGTGAGCTTTGCAGGATGCTGTAGGGGCAGGAGTAGCGGAGTCGCTCATGATTTGGGGCAGGTGGCAGGTGTTAACTACAGCTACAGCCCTGTGGACATGTATGCACTAGGAAATTTCATCAAATCCAGTGGCCATTTGCAGGGCCGGCAAGGTGAGGCAACTGCCGGGGGGGGGGGCAGGATCCACAGGGGTGGCAGATCCCCATGTAGACCTTACCCGCCCCCTTTGTTCTTGATATAGATCTTCACTCACCCCTTTTCTCCTGACCATTAACTTCTGAACAAACAGGCACCAGATTAGGCTGCAGGTGGCAGGAACTGTATAGCTTCTATACCTAACCTGGAGCTCATTGCTCTGTGAAATGTCACTTTTTTGTGAAAAGGGCAATATGGATTTTCTGCCCCCCCCCCCCAGTTGCTAAGAGCCAAGGCAAGAAGAAAAGGAAGATACAGGCAGGTAGAAACTAAGGCATAGTGTGGCAATGCTTTTTTGCTGCAATTGGTGAAGCTTAGAAGCTATCGCAGACATTGCTCCTGTGGGAGAGGGAGGGCAGCTGGGAAAGAAGGAGATAGAGTCATAGAATGGTAGAGTTGGAAGTGACCCTGAGGATTATCTAGTTCAACCCCCTGCAATGCCAGGATATTCAGCTGCCCCATATGAGGATTGAACCTGCAACCCTGGTATCATCAACACCATGCTCTAATCGATTGAGCTATCCAGTGGTGGGGAGGAGCTATAGGAGCAGGTGTAGAGGCATTTTTCAGCCCAAGGGCCACTATCACTTCTGAGAAACCTTTTGGGGGCCACATGCCAGTGGTGGGCAGGACCAGAAGCAAAAGTGGGAGGAGCTACACATGTGAATTTTACCTTTGTACAGCAGGCTAGTTTCTATGCAAACACATCCATCCTCTATCCGGCAAGCAAAAGGTGTGGTCAAAGTTCAAAGGCCTATTTCAGGCAGGCAAAAGCACATCAAGTCTGGCAAGGGGCTTAGAAGGTTGCACTCAGCCCCCAAGACAGATGTTCCCCACCCCTCCTATAGAAGGCAAGTGACCATAAAAAGATAATTTTAAAAAGAAAGTCTAGGGGAATGGTGAGGGCATAGGGAAGGAAGAGAGGTACTGATAAATGTGGATCTGCAGAGATGTTGTTGTTTAGTCGTTTAGTTGTGTCTGACTCTTCGTGACCCCCTGGACCAGAGCACGCCAGGCACTTCTGTCTTCCACTGCCTCCCGCAGTTTGGTCAGACTCATGTTTGTAGCTTCGAGAACACTGTCCAACCATCTCATCCTCTGTCGTCCCCTTCTCCTTGTGCCCTCAATCTTTCCCAACATCAGGGTCTTTTCCAGGGAGTCTTGCTTCTCATGAGGTGGCCAAAGTATTGGAGCCTCAGCTTCACGATCTGTCCTTCCAGTGAGCACTCAGGGCTGATTTCCTTAAGAATGGATAGGTTTGAGCTTGCAGTCCATGGGACTCTCAAGAGTCTCCTCCAGCACCATAATTCAAAAGCATCAATTCTTCTTTATGATCAGCCTTCTTTATGGTCCAGCTCTTACTTCCATACATCACTACTGGGAAAACCATGGCTTTAACTATATGGACCTTTGTTGGTAAGGTAATGTCTCTGCTTTTTGCAGAGATGATGTAGTACTAAAATCCACAAACTGATTTGAAATAAAGCAAATATTTGGGTTTTAGGCCTCCCTTGGACTGATAAGTCATCAGAAATAGCCCAAGTAGAATGTTGGGAATGTAGCTAAAGCTTTTGACTAGGGGAAGCAAGCTAGGGATAGCTGGGGATGAGATGGGGCAGAGAGAGAAGCAAGGAGAAGAGCAAGGCTGCAATAAGCGGATGCTGCAGGCAGATGAGAGGCAGTGTTGGCAAAACTCCACTGGGGAGCCCTTACTAGAGCTACGTGCAGCACACCCTGTTCAAACCATCCCTAATAGCCTCTTTTACAAGTACTGAAGCGATACAGTCCACCCCACTCCTGTTTTGTAAAGAAATCAATAAGATCCTCTTGCAGCAGGAAACCAAAACTGTCTGAAAAACCTTTGCCTCTGCAATACACCTCTTGGCACCTGGGCAAACCAGACCCCCCCCTACCTGAGCAGGTGGATATCAAGAGCAGTAATGCTACACTGGTCAGAACAAACTGCTGCTCAGGAGCAGTGGAGCAAAGCAATTTTACACTCTCGATATCGTGTTCTTAAAGGGAAGCCCTTATTTAGGCTGCAAAGCATCTTACTTCCCTTATTTCAAAATGTGGCTAAGCTGTTTGTGGGCCACCCTGCTCATTCTAAGTGCAGCCCTGAGCTTCTGCTCCAAAGTCCAGTCCTGACAGCACCACTGCAAACTGGCCTCTTGCAGCTACTACTGTCACTGCAGATTCTGAAAACAAACCCAAAAATATCAAACCCCATTTCAAATTCCAGTCAAGATTATGCAAATCAATGAACTGTACTATCATGGGTTGAAATGCACAAACATGTACAAGCAGAGAGACTCCACACTCAACGGGGTATTCTTGCAAGACTTGGAATCTTTATTGGAAAGTAGTACAATGTCAGGAATGGGTAATCAAGTTGTCTGTCTTCCACATGGAACAAAAATATTATAATTTTGCATTAAGGTGATTCTGCACCAAGACCCAAACTGCCAGAGTTGAGCAGTACAGTGGTACCTCTAGTTGCAAACGGGATCCGTTCCGGAGGCCCGTTTGCAACGTGAACAGAACGCAACCTGCAGCGGTGCACCTGCGCACACGCAGGTCGCAATTCGCTGCTTCTGCGCATGCATGTGACGTCATTTGGCACGTCTGCGCATGTGCGAGTGGCGAAACCCAGAAGTAACCCTTTCCAGTACTTCCGGGTCGCCGCGGGATGCAACCTGAAAAAACGTATCATGAAGCAAACGTAACACAAGGTATGATCTGTACTGCATTTAATATCTTGCATGTTCTGTTCTGCAAGTATACTATTTTTAATGAATTATTCTGGCACTGCTATACTGGGAAGCCCAGTGACCGTTGAAGACCAGCTGAAAGCCACCCCTTTGAACCTCTGGTTGCACCAAGCATTGCCCCCCCACTTAAATAACCTACATGCCACCATACAAGCTAGAAGCCTGCTCTTAAAAATAGCAGAAAGCAAGATACACCAGAAGCCTAATTTCATTTTGCATTTTTGTGTTCCTTCCTGCAGAATACACTTGCTATGGGATGTAAGAATAAGGAGATAGGACTGCACGACCAAGCCAGCCATGGCAGATTTGTGAGCAGCACATCACATATTCTATCAAAAGATAACAAAATACTTAATACAAAATATCAAAATACTTAATAAAAAGCATCTGCACTGCTGAAATATTCTATGGCGTTAGCAATACCAGTATTAACAAGGGTGTCCCACATGGCCTTAAAGTGGCACTGTGCCAAGTCAATGGTCCACAAGATCCATGACTTGATCGTGGATGGAGGACTTGACCTGGCATGTGTAACGGAGACTTGGTTGGATGAGGCGGATGAGCCTGTTCTTGCCACTGCTTGTCTGCCAGCCTTCTCTTACACACAGCAACCCAGGTCATGTGGGCGGGGAGGGGGGTTACAGTGATGTTTAGAAAGACACTTTTTTCTGAATGCTTGTTTTGGAAGCTGGGCCATAGGGGCAGTACCGGATTCCTTTTGGTGTACCGACCTCCCCGCTGCACCAAGGATTCCCTGCCTGAACTGCTTCAGGTCATGGAGGATGTTCTCCTGGAGACACCTAGTTTGGTTGTCCTGAAGGGATTTTAACATCCATGCTGACACGACCTTACAAGGGGCCTCTTGGGACTTCATGGAAGGGGGCTTCATGGGGCTATCCCTGAATAAGCCATGGACATGCCTTAGATCTGGTGTTCACCACTGTGGATGTAAGTGATCTGACACTAAGTTCCAGCATGACAAAAAAAGTACCATTGTCAGATCATTTCCTGGTGCATCTAGACTTCTCTGCAACCCTTCCCCTCCGCAGGGAGGTGGGACCGATTTGGATGGTCCACCCCCGCCACTTAATGGATCCAGATGGTTTCCAGAGGGTGGTAGGGGATGTCTTATCCCATGCTTATGGCCTTTCAGCTGACGCCCTGGTGGCCCACTGGAATGCAGAGTTAACTAGGATTATCCACTGTTTGGCTCCAAAGCACCCTCTCCGATTACAAGGAGCTCAGATGGTTCCCTGGTATTCCCCAGGACAGAGGGTGATGAAACAATCGCTGAGACGGCTAGAGGGGTGGAAAACTTAGTTCAAATTGGACTGAACATGGGTTGGAGCTCAACATCAAGCCTACCAAGTGGTGATGGCAACAGTGAAGATGTTCTTCACCACCTCCATTGCACTTGCAAAAAACAGTTCCAGGAGACTTTTTCAGGTGGTTCATAGTTTAACAGAACCACGTTCATCATCAGGGTTCAGTAAGGACACCAAGATCTCTTACTGTGTTAGCAGGGTCAGGATGGGAGAGTGCCAGCACTCCATCCAGCTGCATGGGATCAGTTTCAACCTGTTACTTCCAAGGATGTGGACAGGCTGCTTGGGCAAGTGAAACCAACCACCTGTCTCCTTGATTCTTGCCCATCCTGGCTCATAAAAGCAAGCCAGGCAAGGCTGGGCAATGGGCTCCGTGGGGTGGTGAAGGTGAGGGAGTCTTCCCAGACCCACTTAAAGAAACAGTTATTAAATCACTTTTGGACCCGGACACTAAGGCCAGTTATCGCCCAGTCTCAAATCTTCCATTCCTGGGCAAGGTGATTGAGTGGGTGGTTGCGGAACAACTCCAGGCACACCTGAAGGGTGCTGACTACTTGAACCCCTTCCAGTCAGTTTTCAGGCCCCATCATAGGATTGAAACCGCCATGGCCACACCGGTTGATGATCTCTGGCAGGCTAGGGACAAAGGTGAAAGCTGTTTCCTAGTTCTGCTGGATCTCTCAGTGGCCTTTGATACCATCGACCATGACCTCCTTCTGGACCGTCTAGAGGAGCTGGGAGCACTGTTATACAGTGGTTCTGCTCCTTCCTCCTGGGCTCTCACTTGTGGGGTGCCTCAGGGTTCTGTCCTCTTCCCCATACTTTTTAACATTTATATGAAACTGCTGGGAGAGATCATTAGGGGAGTCCGGGCTAAGCATTCACCAGTATGCAGATGATACCCAGCTCTACCTCATTTAAACCAGTGAAGGCAGTGAACGTCCTGTGTGGGTATCTGGAGGCGATTGGGAGATGGATGGCAGTCAACAGATTGAGATTGAACCTCGACAAGACAGTACTGTTTCTGGGTCACAGGGGACAGGGAGGTGTGGGGCATTTCCTGGTCCTGAAAGGGGTAACTGTGCTCCTAAAGGACCAGGTGCACAGACTGGGAATTATTTTGGACTCACAGCTGTCCATGGAGGCACAGGTCAATTCTATGTCCATCTGGTACACCAGCTGAAACCCTACCTGCTTGTGCCATGTCTCACCAGAGTGGTACATGCCTGGCTATCTTCCTTCCCTATGCCCTCACCATTCCCCTAGACTACTGCAATGCACGCTACATGGGGTTACCTTTGAAGGTGACTCAGAAACTACAACTAAACCAGAATGTGGCAGCTAGACTGGTGACTGGGAGCTGCCATAGGGACCATATTACACTGGTCCTAGAAGATCTAAATTGGCTCCCAGTACGTATCTAAGCACAATTCAGTGTTGGTGCTGACTTTTAAAGCCCTAAATGGCTTTGGCCCTGTATACCTGAAGGAGCGTCTCCACCACCATCATTTAGCCTGAGGTCCAGCTCCGAGGGCCTTCTGGCAGTTCCCTCACTGCGAGAAGTGAGGTTACAGGGAACCAGGCAGAGGGCCTCCTTGGTAGTGGAGCCTGTCCTGTGGAACGCCCTCCCATCAGATGTCAAGGAAACAAACTATCTGACTTTTAGAAGACATCTGAAGGCAACCCTGTATTGGGAAGTTTTTTATGTCTAATGTTTTACTGTGTCTGATGTTTTAATTTGCTGGAAGCTGCCCAGAGTGCCTGGGGCAATCCAGTCAGATGGGCAGGGTACAAACAAACTTTCAAATTGTGATTGAGCTAGTTTATAACATTTCTCCTGGAGGTTGGTGCCAGATTCTTTCAGAAGCAGCATTCCACATGGCATATTTTGAACAATGCACCTCCTATCTCCATGGTTATTTTAAGAGTTTTAAAAGGTTTTTCTAGTCATTTTGGCCTATAATCACAGATGGTTTACAAAATTAGTTTCAGCCAACAAGTTGGAAACTCCACTTTTGCACATTGTGAGAAGCTTGTGCGGATCTCCCAGTTGTAGGCTTTCTTCCAGTAGGAGCTAACTAACAGTTAAGAGGCTACGTACTCCGTAAGGGTGGATTTCTGGGTTTAAATCCAAGCTCAGGGAGAGAATCACAAGCCTCAGTTCTATGGCTCTAAAGTGCTGTGAAACTGTCATCACACACACAACACACTACTCTCTCTTGGGGTGGCCAGATTAAGATAATAAAAAGTAACACCTTCTTTCTTTGGATGAATATTTTAATATTTGTATCATTTTAGTGAACATATGTATATGTTGTATTTTGTTCTTGAAAATTGCTCCGGGGTGCCTCTGGATGTGTGTAGTGATATACAAATAAAATAACCTAGCATTCACAGACAGCAGTTGGCAAAAGATGGTATCCTTATAGGAGTTCAAGCTTCTCCCTGCTCCCTTGCCCTCCCTGCCCCACTCCATGAATTCATCTTCAGTCCCTGAGATCCATCAGGATTTATAGAATCTTGCTTCTTGTTTGGTATACTTCCCTACTTGGATATTTTCCACTCATTCAAACAGGCAACGCTTTGCCACAGGCCCATCAACTCATGACAGATCTAACATAGCTCCAGGATAATAAATGATTAATTTTCAATTGCATCACAAAAATACATGATTTCCCACTACATAAAAAACCCAGAGACAGAGGTACATGTTCATTCACTTTTCCGCATACTTTTATTTGTTACAAACATACATTTTTTTAAATATAGACTGTAAAACTCCATTTGCAAAAACCTGTTATGGTAAGGAGTGCTCAACTAGCATGAGGAGTTCTTAATGTCGTTTGGACTGGTTTGTTGTTGTTTTGCTAGTCAGCTAGTGGTAAATCCAGGACCTGCCTTCGTTTGACAGCAGCCTGTAGTGTCTGGCTGCATCTGCATTGCTCTTTAAAAGCAGTCCTGCCAGCCCCCCCCCCCCCCCAAAGGGAAATCAGAATCTCAGCTTCAGCCAACAGGCAGCAAGACCAAGAGGCAGCTCTTTGCCCTGGGACTGTAAATACTTTCCAGCGCTCTGCTTAATGGGTGAGAAAGGAACATTTCTGAATGGGTGCTGCACTTTTAAAACATCTCTGTATGCTTGAAACTGCACCACACAGCTGTTTGTGTTTGTTTTGCCAGTTAAAGTGCATTTAATTTTTTTTATATAAAAAAATAAACAAGAGGAATAAACTTTATTCTTTAATTAAGGTACTTAAAAGTGAACTTTTTGGTCTCTCAGCAGATATTCCTGAAATCAGATCTATTTTACTACAAATTAACGTCTAGCATTTATATAATATATTTATAGAGGGGGAGTTTTTTTTAAATATATAGATATATATAGAGAGATAGATATAAAATTAGAGCTACTTTTGCATTTACTATCTAGCAGAGAAACATGTTTTTATAAATACATACACATGTACACAGACATTTCTTTCTATGTATACAATGTACAAACGTGTATATTTACATATGGGCTGATTACATCCATATATGATCAATTATCACTTACACAAGGTTTTCTCAACTTTATACCAAATTAAAATATTTGCTCACTACTGAAATGGTACATTCAGCCCAGCAAAACCTTCACTTCCCAAGGGCAATGATTCTGCACCACCCTGCCCTTTCTTTATAATCCTGCATATCACTTTTGACAAATCTGTTAGCATCAAATTGAGCAGCAGATACTGTAGTATCTGTAGTAAGCAATACCTCTAACTGGAAGAGGCAGCTGACTGCTGCACCCTCTGCTGGAAAAGGACTTTGGCAGCTACGCCAGCAAGCACAGCAGCGGGGACACTATCCATTCATTTCAATGGAAGACCTGTGCTTGCAAAATCCACCTGCAGTGCAAAGGTTAATTCAATGAGGCAAGGAGAAAGAGCAAGAGACTTGGAAACCAGATTATGAGTGTTTGTTCCACCAGTCTTGGCAAAACATGGAAAACTACCAGCACCAACTGGTAACATAACATGGGGAAAAATAAGCTGCCTACAGTACGGGCTGCAATTGTTCAACATTTGCTTGACTTTCAAACATATCACCTCCTCAGAGAACCTGCTTCACATAGGGTTTTGCCTGCCTTGAGCATCTGCTGGAACCTGTGCACTGCAGAAGATTCTACAGTATGTTCAAATACGGGCACTGATCAGACCTCTCACCAAGAAAGGTTATGTTCCAAAATGCCCTAACCTTCCTGTGCAGCTGGACATTGAGACAGCGGACAAAGTCTTCTCACTGAGGAACTTGATAGGTTTTTGTGGAACCACAGCATTCTTAGTAGCATGAAAATCACTGAATGCAGCTTCAGCAATCTAGACTAACACGTTTCCTCTTAATAATAGGCCAGCAAGGATGATGTGAAAGTGCTGGAGGGAAAGGTAGTATGGAGAGCTGCTCAGATTATTGCCCAATGTTATTATTGGGCCAATGACCTGCCTTCTCCTAATGGGCACCTCTCTACAAATGTTGGTAAGGTTAAAATATTCACAGCACATGTAAGCTAGGAGATAACTGGCTAACTTGTTTATCATGGTTCTTTACATTTGAGCATGCCTGAGTCAACAGCTCCAATTCTGAAGAGGGGCAGTGTGAAGAAACAAGATTAAGCTATATTCTTGTAAATCCCACATGCATTCAAATATGGGATTTTCTAACCAGATGGGCCTTTCAACACAGAAAAAGCAGGGCAGGAAATTAAACATATTGTCTTGGAAACTTGCCTGGGTTAAAATGGTGCACAGTGACTGCTGTTTTAAATTATGTCCTCTGCAAGTCTTAAAGACAGTTTACCTTGGCTACACAAAGCAGTGATAGGCCAGGAGTGGGGCAAGCAGAAGTAAGCTTTCCTGTACATTTACAATAGCTTTGACAAACTTGTACTTCTTTGCTGTGGGCCGCTTACTTTGTATGTATGTGTATATGTACCTATACACACACACAGTACATTATGAGATTAAGGCTACATAGCAGCTTATTACAAAATGGCTTTGACAAAGCACACTTAACCTTCCCTTCACGGAATTTAAGAGACAAAATTGTGTTGGTATTTCTATATTTCTAGTAGACATTGAAACCTTGAGCTCTCCCCCACTCTTCCCCTTGTCAGATTAAAAAAAAGAGGAGCTGGAGTGAGAAGGCTAGCAAAAAAAAATTCATGGTAACTATTGATTAGAAATCAGTTAGTAAACATCCTGGAACATTCTTCTTTCCTTAGGTGAGCATTTTTGGCAAGTTAATGATTCTCATGCTCAAAAAATTGGGCGATGGTAGAACAGTTATTCTCTAAAGACTCTGGGAACAGTCACATAGACTTTAGTTGTGCTGCTCTGAAGTCTACAACTTAGTTCTCCTCTGTCAAATCAGATACGAGCAAATTTACACAACTGGCCTTAATTATACTGCTGCAAGTTGAATATGAGAGGCTGGGACCCAAAGAAACACTTTCACTGTGCCCAATGGAATAGTACACAGCCAGTGTAATTTTGGGCTGTTCGCATCTGAAGAGATCCCCCATGCTACTAACTGCTTTTGAAGCTCCTCCTTAAGAACCACAAGACCAACCCCACCTCAAGCACACCCAGCTAGCAATTCAATTCTTTAGAGCCCAGCGACTGTGTTATTGCTTACTCCCTACAACTACGCAAAATACCTGTTGTTTGTGTGACTAGACCATAATGTTGGGATTTTATTAAAAAGGAAAATTTTACTCCACCATATACACCAACCTCATTATATTAAGATGGAGTTAGTCTAACACCACTGCAGATTAACTGTCATTCTACAGGTAGGAGAGGTAGCAGTTCATGGCCACATTCACAGGTTTGAATGTCTGCTTCCAATATTAAACTTCTCTGGAACCTTACACGAAACAGCTGTTATGCTTCAGCCACGTGCTTTCCTCTCACAATACCTCAATAAAGCAATCTGTCAGTCTTAATTCTTTTTAACTCTTCCTCTGTTGGCTAAAAACTACAAAGTGCAAAAGATGAGGTTCCTGAGAACCTGCAAGAGGGAGGAAGAAATCTTTTTTACTACAACCAGTCTTTCCTTACCTTAGCCAAACTCCATCAACCTAATAAATCAAACCCAAGAATGCAATTTTAAGAAGTAAATGCCACCTGACAATTAAGATGATCTGGCTAATGCTCAAGCACAACAAATTGCTACAGTAATTTTGCTGACACTGAATTACCATAAGCACCATTGCTGGACAAGAGGCAAGCTTTCTAAATACCTCTAGCACACCTGGAATCAGACTATCAAGAACATGGGGGAAGGAACCTACCATGAAGAGTATGTATTTACATCGCAAATTCATCAGTGAACAAATAATCAAGAAATACATAATAAGAGACCTGCCACTACCAGTTTGGCATTCAGAAAGCATTTTAAGGTTTGAGCTGCAGAAGACTGGTCTGAGTGCAATAGCTCAAAGCATATAGGTCTAAACTGGTTTAATCATCATTCCCTCTCAGTGAGAGTCTACAAATCTCCCAGCACTCTCATCAAACTAATGTTTCTTTGAGGAAAGTCTTTATATTCTTCTGGTATAAAATGATTTAGATTTGTAGCATAGGTAAGCTCTAAGCTAAGGGTTCTGCTGGGTAACATTAAATTGCCTACACAATGTTTCCACAAATAATTTTGAATAATGCATATTAAAAGTATCAGGGTCCATTAAGTTTTAAATATTTAGCCTCAAGTAGATTGGTAATCCCAATTACACTATCCCTTTAAAAAACTAAATTTGTTTCATAGCAAACATACTTCAATACATTTACCATTTTACCAAAGGAAGCATATCAACAACATGTTTACCAAGAACTACGTAGTATTAGAATAATTTTGAAGCCAAAAAGTGCCATTTTTAAAGGGAAAAACTAAGTTTTCCTCCCTTCCACTAAGTTAAGAGTCAAGGCCACAAGTTTATTTATTTTTAAATAATAACTGAATATCTGCTGAGAGATTAAATTGTGCATCAGATAAAGTACCATAATCTTTCTGTTAAAACATTGAGATGTCCATGCATGTTTATGCACTGAACAGTTTTCCACCAAAATCACAAAACTGCTGCCCTCACAAGTGAAAGTAGCCTGAGTTAGTCACTTTTCCAATGTCCCCTTTAATGATAGGAACAGATCACAAATCATCCTCAGCTATTCCAATACCTGAAGTGTGCAGTCAATGATGGGACCACTCAATATGAGGGCTTATTGTAACCTGCATCTTGTGCCCATTATCCTGAAAATTGTAAGCCAGGGCATGATAAGAATGTGTGTTTTTGGGGAGAGAAACTGAAGCAGAACTTGAATCTTAATTTATTTTTAAAAAGATCTGTGGTTGCAGAGCGGATTCCAGGGTAAGCAACAGTGACTGCTTTTTATTTGAGGAGAAAAGAAAAAGCATTCACCGTTAGGTCTGCAACCGCTCTGCAGCAGACAGCTATGGAAAGAAGAACAAGAACCCGTAACTAGATGTGAGCTAAAGATACGGGTGTTTATACCTGTATGCCTCAAATATTTACAATTTTTGGTGCTATACAAGATTTACATTTTGTTTTGTACAGCAGATGCATCACTCCAAGGACAGTAGAAGTCTAGAAATGTTGGATATGCAGAACTCCACATGGAGGTTTGCCCATTTCCCCCTCATACAGAACCGACATTTTTAAGACAACAGTGTGATCCACAAGCCACATAACTCAACATACCTGAACGTGTGACAGCTAAACTCCAGTAAATTTATGGAATTGAGCTATTTTAAGCACAGATATGCCAGACGGCAGCTTGTAAACTGCACTGAGGTACTGTCAATGTTGCTGCAGAAAAATTCAAAGACACAATTTAACTGCAGCACCAAGAATGGGGAAGCCTTTACCCAAATTGACATTTAAGCACAAGAATATAAACAGGAATAACAAGATCATTCATCTGAGATGTAATCCAGGCAGTACATTTTTTCCAACATGGCTGAATATCCCTATCACATGAACAGAAGCTACTCTGAACAGGGACAAGTCTATCTACTTAGAATTTGCAGAGACCAATTGTTGAGACAAAACTACTAGGCTTAGAGAGCAGTGTGATTTTTCTTTTAAAGGCGCAGTTTGTACAAAGTGCACACATGTGTGCGGGGTGTGTGTGAGATTTCTAACAGTTATCCCTACACCAAATAGGATTCATCTTTCATTAGAGGCCAATCAATGCTTCCAAGTGACCCTTAAACAATACAGTATTTGCAATCTCCACTATTTTAATCACAGAAGTCCCAAATTTTACAACAGGGAGGAGAGGTTCAAAGCTCTACAGATGCCAGGCAAGCCCCCTTCCCCCACTCTCAGAGTTCTATGGATTTTCCTCCGTAAACCCCTGCACCTAACAAGGGCTTGTGCCACCAGACTAATTTTCCTATAGCATGAGGCTTGGCCGTTAACCTGCTATGGTGAGATAACCTCAGTATTACTCAAAACATTTAAAATCTTACCATTTATACTTAAGCTGGACACAAGCATGCCCAGTATTTTCACTGAGACTCTCCTACTGACACACTGCATTGTCACCACCTACATACCTTGGAGGGTCATGTGTCAATCTGTGTACCCAATATACAATGCTTTAACTGGTCTAATGACTACAGAAGATTTTTTTCTGGTTGCCAAAACAACACCATATATGGCAGCATTCTTGGCATACAACTGATATATGCTTCTGTCTACTTCCACATACTTCCTAGACAGCTAATTATAGCATATGTAGCCACTGGCCAGGGACAGTCAAACCCTGTCACTACCACGTAATACAAAGGTAAGACTAGTTACTGCAATTCAGCCAAAAAAAAAAAAAAAAAAAAATCTCCTGAAAAGGAGAGGTACTGCATTTTAATTGGCTCACAGCAGCTGAGCAACAAAAGGGAAAAAAACCCCAATTACCACTGAAGCAACAAAACATTGTTGGTCTATACAAGTATTGTACATTGATTTAAAATGAGTGAAGAGTTACAGCAATATACACCAAGCATCTGCAGCCTCAATTTTCATTGCTGCCTAGAGCTCTAATTAGTTAAGTAGAGTTTTCTGCAATCCTAGAGGGCTGTGGTATCCCAGTTAACCTGCTGAAACTTTTGTTGGTGAAAGTTGTTCTCCGGAGCAAAGAACTACATACATTTGAACAAAAATACATAGGTAGATACAGCAGGACATTATTGAAAACAGCTGCCTTGGAGAGTACAAAATACAGTACGAGTATACGGATGTAATTAAAACATCAAGAAATACTATTGCTCCCATTACAATTCAGGAAACAAGTTCTTTGCGACGGAGAAAATGGAAAGAAAGATTTCTTCAAAAATACAATAAAAATATCTACTGTGGACACTGGGAATAAAGAAATGTCTTTGAAAATAAACAATTATATGTGTGGCTGAACATTTTGTGGTAAACTATTCTGACATTATTTGCAGATCTTTATAATAGCTATAGTAAAACCAATTAATTTTTTAAAAGAAAATTCCTGCAAATTTCCCCACTACAGTGACAACCGTGTGAAGAAATGCCTTTTATGTCTCCTTGCTTTCTAATAAATACAAAACAAAGATAGTATAGATAAGAGTAATACCAAAATAAGGTAATAAGGGTATGCAATAAATTAAAAAGGCAGCTCAAATAAAGGACAGGCATGCACAATTAAAAAAGATTGTAGAGGAAGGTTTACCTGCCTCTCTTAAGATGTTGCACAAATAATACCTGAAACTTTGTAGTGAACAGTACACTTCCATTCAATTCAAAGTTGCCAGTATAGAATGTATCTAAAAACACTTTTGGAGGGAATAGGTCTGACTTCATTTGTTTTAAAAAAATATCATTTTAGATTAAGAATCCATTCAAAATATAGATGAGGCAATTATTTGGGTGGAGACACCCAACTTTGTTTGGAAAGGACAGCTGGATAAATTGGCAGTAGCCAGTCTATAATAAAATGTGAAGATGGTAAAACGCTGCTAGGGAACGTTCAGTCACAGATCTTTTGTGGGGTTGTTTCTGCTCCTTTTTAGTGATGGATCTCAAGCTCCAACTGGACATGCATTGCTCTGAACAATCCATCCCATCAATTCATTCTTGCCAACTCTGCTGTTAACATAATGTGAGGTACTGAGAAAATGGATAGTTCTCTTTTTGTTAAAAAAAATCTTGTTAAAAGAATAACTGATGCTGGACTTCTGGACCTGAGGTTCTTGGTGTCTGTGTTCATGTCCACTAGTTTGCACGATGAAAGAAGCCTTCCGTTTTCCTACATGGTTCTTTTCACAGACCTGTAGCCACAGTCCCTTTGCCAAATTACAATTTCAAGATTTTGCTTTTTAAAAACCCAGCTACAGATTTCACTTCTTTGACCAGATCATCTTTTGAAGTCAGCAGAAAGACAGCTCCAGTTTCCACCTCCTATTAAAGCCATTTGCTTTCACCTTATTTGGAGAGAAGGGGAAGAACTTTAGCGAGCAGCGACAGTCCACTCTGCATGCCTTGTGCTTTATGCCTGTTTTTCTTTAATCTACCTGTTTGCAACCCCCATTAAAAAAAGAAAAATGAAATACCATTTAAGATCTTTAGAACCTGCCAGCTTTAAAGTAATTCACTTATCAATTCCAGTTCAGGCACCTGGAGCTTAGCAATTTGCACCCCCAAAATAAAACAAACTATTCTGCAAAGGGGGGGAAAAAGACAACAATGGACATTGGTCCAGATACAGGCTCCCCCCACCCAATTACCTTTCTGAAAAGGTATTTTGAGTTGGTTGCTTCTTTCCTCTGCCCACCTGCTATGTCCCCTTCCCCGACCCATTTAAATCCATGATTGATCTCTACGACTTTCCCCATCGGGATTTGCACCCCCCTCAAAATAAGCCCCATGCCCCCACTGATTTGGACAGCGGTGGTAGCTTCTCCCCTTCCTTCAAACAATGCTCAGTGGCCTTTTATTCTCCAGAATGCTGGTTTCAAGAGTAGAGGGGCACCATCTCAGAAATGCAAGAGTGAAAGGTCTGGGTGGAAGTGAAAGAGAGAGTCAAGATCCAAGTAACATTTCTCCCTCCCTTCCTCCCAAATAAAACATCTCAGCCATTCGGTAGAGGAGGAGCCTTGGAAGGCAGGACAGATTTAGATGGCAGAGATCCCCTTCTCTCCGCCATGGGCTAAGGTTGAGGTTAACTGAGGCCACAAAGATTCCTCTCTGCAGGGGAAGCAATGATGTCGGTGAAGCCCAACAGATGCTGTATCCCTGGGAAAAATAAAAGGGTGGCAGAGATAGAGATCAGGAGGGCGCTCCAGAAGTGGTGCAGGTCAGGGGTGTATGCAGGTAATCTGGAAGCTTGCTCTCTCCCATGACAGAAGAATGCGTGTGAGGTGGGGAGGAAGCTTGGGGCCAGGTTTCCTTCCCTGCTCCACCCAGTCCCGTACTCCAGGGCAACCTCCCGGCCGGCGCGGAAGGTGGCTGAGGCGAGGAGAAGGGGGTTGTCAGAAGCAGGGGGCGCGGGGAGGAGGCGGCCGGGGAGGAGGAGGGGAGAGGCTCAGTCGTCGTCTACGTCGTCTCCGTCGGAATCGTCGCCGGCTCCGCTGCCGCTCCCCGGCCCGGCCGGCCCGGCCCGTCGGTCGTACAGCTTGTCCCGCTGGCGCTCCTGGATGTCTCGCATCTCGTCGGCGTAGCGGCAGAAGGCGCCGCCGAACTTGGCCCAGGCCTTGTAGGGCACCGTGATGGCGTTGCGGTAGGAAGGCTTCACCTCGCTGACGCGCAGGAAGACGCCGTACTTGTTGCAGCCCACGTCGAAGAAGAAGCGCTTCGAGTCCACCGTGATGGAGGTGCCTTCGGGGAGCTCGCCGTACAGGCCGCCCCCGCCGCCGGGGCCCCCGCCGCCGCCGCCCCCGCCCAGCTCGTCCTCGTCGGCGCCGTAGTCGTCGATCAGCTTGGCCAGCGCGTCGCGGAACTCGATCAGGCCCTGCGCCGGCAGCGCGATGGTCTGGCCGCTCTGCAGGCCCGGCGGGCCCCCGGGGAAGCCCGGCCCTCCGCCGCCGCCGCCCCCGCCGCCCGGCCCGCGGTTGATGGTCTGGCGGATGCGCAGGAAGCGGCCGCGCTGGTTCTCCTTCAGGTCCAGGTAGTACTTGCGGTTCTCGCGCACCAGGAACTCGCTCTTGAGGGCCCGCCGGGGCCCCGCGCCGCCGCCGCCGTCCTCCCCGCCGGGCGAGGCCTGCGCCAGCTGCTCGGGGCTGCTGGGCCCCAGCTGCGCGTAGTGCTCGATGAAGTCGCCCAGGTAGTCCCGGAACTCGGCGGCCACCGCCATGGAGAGCGTGAGGCGGCTCTTGGAGCCCCCCGCGCCCACCTCCGCGATCTTCAGGAAGCGGCCCTTGGCGTTCTGCTTCACGTCCAGGTAGAAGCGCTTGTTCTGGATGTCCAGGCGCTTCGAGGCCAGCTCCTGCGTCTCCTGCTCCGGGCCGGGGCCGCCGCCGCCGCCGCCCCCGCGGTGTCCCTGGAAGCCGCCGCCGCCGCCGCCTCCGCCTCCGCCACTGCCGCTCCCGCTGCCCCCTCGCTCGCTCCCGCTGTCGCCATCCGCCATCTTCTCCTTCCTCGGGTTCCTTCTGCCGCCGTCAGGCCCAGCCTGCCTTCCGCCCGTCCGGCTCTCCGCCGCCGCCTTCGCCTTCTCCTCCTCCGCACACGCGCGCGCACGCACACACTCGCGCAGGCGCGCGCCTTCCTCGCCCGCCCGCTCGCTCGCTCGCCCGCTCTCTGCCTCTCTCTCTCCCTCTCTCTCTCTCTCTCTCTCTCCCGCTCTCCCTCACACGCACTTCGCTCCCTCAGGCCGCCTCCCCTTCCGCCGCCGCCTCCCGCCCCGCCCGCAGCGCCAAGGCCCACTTCCGGGGACGGGAGGGAGTCCAGGGAGGAGCCACAACCGGAAGTCAGCGGCGTTCCACGCTAAGCCCCGCCTCCCCCGAAGAAACCAGCGGGAGGGAGAGAAGGAGCGCGAAGCGTTTTCCGCCGCCTCTGGCGCCTGCGCACTCCCCCTCGCCCGCCCCCCCCGCAGGCCTAAGAAGCGCAAGACCCCTTTTTTTTGGGGGGGGGAGTAAAGGCGGGACTTGCACGTAAGCATGTGCAGAGTTCCCTGCACTCTGGAGTCCAGCCTGCGCAACCAGTCACACGCACCAGTGGAGTGGCCAAGCCCCTCAAGGGGTGGGCCCCGATGATCCTGCGCTCTGGCACTCGATCCCGGTTTAGTCCCGCTGGCCACATGACCCGGAAAGCTGTCTGCGGACAACCGCCGGCTCCCTCGGCCTAGAAAGCGAGATGAGCGCCAGAACCCCAGAGTCGCCTTGGACTGGACTTAACCATCCGGGGTCCTTTACCTTTACGCTTCAAATATTTTATGGGGGGCAAAGGGACCTCGGCCCCTAGCAGTTGGCTCCTGCGCTCTCAGCTAAATCAGAGAATGGCAGAGTTGGAAGGGACCACCTTTTAAATAAAACACAGAGCCAAGGAAATTCATGCAAGTCCAGCATTCAGGAGGGACCTGGCATTTATTTCAGCTGTACCACCGCTTAGAGGAGCATCAGAACAAAGGTTTTATAGGCACAGCGCTAAAGAGTCATTAAACATCAAACATTCTACATACATGGAGATGAGATAGGAAGAGACAGGGCTCCACACTGGGATCAACTTCCTTGGGGTGTTCCAAAACATGTGGTCTTGGCTTACAACTTATCGGACGGTTGTCAAGGCAACCAGACCTTCAGTGGGGCTGTTGACAGTCCTTTCCCATATCTGGAATCTTTCAAGGAGATGTCTGTGCTAACTCACAACAGACAGAGGAAACGCTCCTGCCATTTGTACCACTTTCAGGGTCAGACAGGAGAGATGGAATGCAGCGTAGGAGGGAGGCAAGAGAGGGTCACAACATGCAGGAATCATTCATGGATGCACGCTAGCCAAAGGCTGAATGCAATTAATACTGGAAATCAAACAAATCTACACCCTGGGTCTCTAATTCTTATATTAGGACCCCCTAGGGTCATCTAGTCCAACCTCTGCAGAAATCTCAGCTAGATCATCCATTACTGATGGCCATCAAATCTCTGCTTAAAAACAATCAAGAAAGAGAGTCCCCCCTCTCAAGGGAATCCAATCCTGATGTTTAATTGGAATCTCCTTTCTTCTAACTTGAATCCGTTGGTTCAGGTCCTATTCTCCAGAGCAGGAGAAAACAAGTGTGCTCCATCTTCCATGGGACAGCCCTTGAGCTATTTGAAGATATCAGTCATATCTCCTCCCAGTCTTCTCCAGGCTAAACATACCCACCTCCTTCAACCGTTCCTCATAAGGCTTGGTTTCCAGACCCTGGATCCTCTTGGTCGCCCTTCTCTGTCCACCTTCCAGCTTGTCAATACTATCCTTCTTAAACTGTGGCACCAAGGACTGGACACAGGACTCCAGGTGTGGTCTGACCAAATGTGCCCAAGGTTGCCACCCGAAGGTGGTTTATTCCCACCCCTATCCCCCAATGCCTTTTAAAAATGTTAGCTATCCTGGGTAGCAAACATTGGCTGGAAGCCAGAGGAAGAGGAAGAGGAAGAGGAAGGAAGAGGGAAAACAGCAGGTACAGTAGTGAAGCCATGGAGCTGTAGAAAGGAGCAGCCAAGAAAAGGGCAGGAGACAGGCTTCATGTGCCACTTAGGAACAGCAGGATCTGTCAGTAATTGGCATAAAAGAAAGGAACTTTGGAGGCTGGAGGTATGTTGACCGGAAAGGCAAAGGTTCATAGACATGTCCGCTCCCCAAATGGCCAGATGTAGCCCCCAGCTCCCATTAGCCTTGGTCAGCCTGGCCAGTAGTCAGGATGATGGGAGCTGTATTCCAGCAACTCTAGGGGGGCGCATCCTTATGCTAAGAGATGCATAGAAGGGAAAGCAGCCAGGTGCAGACTCTTCTGTCCGGGCACTGCTGTAATAGTTGGAGGGAACCCACGCAGGATGACATTTTCCCTCTGCAGCTCTTACAAGGTCTCTCAGGACCTGGAAAAGCCAAGGAGGCAGCAAACGCAGAAAGGAAGAAATTCAAACCAGTTAGTAGAATCTAACAAGCCAGATAAGGAGGCAAGGTTAAAATGAACCCTGGGCCATTCTTCCATCTGTCGTGCATAAGAGAAACCAGCATGGAGGTCTTGGAACCAGCCAGGTCTTGTGTGTGTGTGTGTGCAGGCAGGTTTTCATGATGGCTGCATCTGCATCCTTCCCCTTTATTGGAGCTTAAGAAGCCAAGTCAACTTCAGATATTCCCTTTTCCAAGACCTCGATTTTTAGATCTGCAGAATCAATTACTGAATAATATTTTTTCTTTGTGAAAATGAAGACTTGCTGGCAAGGAATTTGTTTCAGTTGTGCTCAGCTCAGAGAGAGGATTTAAGTGCTGGCTGGATAATGTAATTTGTGTTCCCAACACACAGTAAGATCACTTTCCCCAGCTGCCCTGCTTGCAGAGGGCAAAGCAGGTCATCGAGGGCTCTTCATTTGTGCCGCATCCTATTCCCAGCTTTCAAGGGTCAACAGGATTGTGACTAGTACTGAAAAAAGAGACATGACCCAGAATGGCTGCCAATCTCCATGTCTGGGAATGCTAACAGGTTGCATATCTTTGTTAGCTGAGGTGCTTAACAGGAACTGATATATTAATAATGTCCACGTTATAGGATTCAGTGGTCTTGGGAGGCCTCTGCTGGTAAAATCATGAAATGGCAAGTTTTGGTTTTCAGAACCTCTCTGGATGGTCATTTTATTCCACGTTCATTATTATTTCTGCTCTTGATGCTATTGGGGTAGTCACACGTGACTCTACTTGTTTGTGCCTTCAAAAGTTTTGGGGTTGGTCACACTGCTTCCTTTACAATCAGTGTATATCCTGTATCTTCCTGAGGAAATCCCACAACTTTTTAATACCACAAATGTTTGTCCTCTATACTGTAGTTCCTTATAGTTGTTGCTCTATAGTGTTTCCAGACAGCACTAATTATTGTGCCACTATTATTGTGTCAAGAACACCCTAGTGGTTTATGAGAGGGCTTCTCAATGAGAAGATCAATAATGGGGGACAATATTTCTTGAAGGAAAGCTTGCCCACCTCTGTGTAAGCTCCCTTTCTACTACACGGCTGTGGGAGTGTTTGGTTATGTGCCACAGTGCACATGAACTGAGCTTGTACCTTAAATGATGTCTGAGAATCTTCGGTAAAAGTGGAAGGAGTCCTTGCTGAAAGCTGCAGAGTCCCTAGCAGACAAATTGATGTGAAAAAATGGTTCCTAGAAGCTAGACAATTTGTGAACCATTGATAATTGATAGTACTACTGTTAAGGCAGAAGGGCTGAACTTGATGTATGGCTCATTCTCTCATCTTGGCTCATGGCTACTGGGGGGACGGGACTGGCCAATAGTAGCATTAAGCTATGATAATATGCAATTTCCCAGCATTGGCTTTTGGACTACCACCCCTAATTGGGTTGCCAACTTCTTACTGACCTGTGCATTCATTCCATTATATCTAGCCATTCTCTGACACAGGTAAATCCAAGACAGGCTATAAAGAAATAGAGCAGAGGTAGCAGCCACTATTGTGTCCTCTAGATGTTGAACTGCAGCTCCCATCATTTGTAGCCAGCATGACTAATAGTGTAACAGAATTTGGAGGGCGCCATGTTGGCTACCCCTGATATGTATCAACAGCAAAGCAAATATTTGACAGCAGTCAAAGGCTGTAATACCGTAAGAATGTTATCACATAGGCCCCTTTGGAGGATTTGTAGTCCTGCATCATAGCCTTAGATTTGCAATGAAGTTATGGTGGGATGGGGAGCAAAGGTGAACACATGTTGCACAACAGCAGTGGCAGCAACTTGGGAGTGAGAAGGGAGAGAAAGTGGTGGATTAAAACAGTGACAGAAGTTTGAATTAAGCAGGCATGGAGAAACACAGAGGGGGAAGGGCATGATTTTAAACAATGACAAAGCAGATGTGGGAACCTCTGCCCTGTGGGCTGAATGTGGCTCTTGGAACATAGGAAGCCCCCCTCCCTTACCCTGTTCTCTGCTCTTCTAGACTGCCTTAGCCTGGCTGCAATGTTTCCTTGAACTATGACCAGGCTTCTTGCTTGCCTGGATGGTGAAAGGGTTTGTGGAAGTGGAGTAGAAACCTTGGACATTTGCATGGCTTGAGCATAGAGTACTGATCAAAATTAAGAGCTGCATCTGTTGTTTTGCCCACTTTTGCCCCTAATGCTGACCAATTACCATCATTGGCTCTTGGCAGTCCAGAAAGTTATCATTGAGGAGACATGGCTGAAAAAGGTTTCCTGACTCAATATTAAAGGTACAGGACTTCTTCCCCCTTTTGCATCTGCTTACCCTAGCTGTAGTCTTACATCCTACTTTTATGTATTTACTTTGAAATACATTCTGTTGAAATGTATTAAATTCCATTGAAATGAATGAGGATTATCTGGGGAAAATGCATATAGGACTGCAGCCCTAATAACTGCTCTGCTGGATAAATCTTAAATCATGCTAATCCCGAATTCTGT